CGTGGAATTAAGACTTATCTGTGATTAAAAATGATGTAAGAGCCAGTAGACGGCCGGATGAAAAATGGACGGCCCAAATAAGGCGACCAAACTAGGTCAAAATTATAAGAAGTACCAAGTTTATGATATCTTGGACAAAAAGTACCAAGATTACGATTCTAGTGATATTTCTGAGGTAGACACGGGCTACAGCTCCCTACGATCTTGAGTTAAATCTCTTCTAGTAGTACTCGCCTTCGATTTAGGCATGCTGCTGCTCTGGAAACTCCGTCTGGGTGACTCCCTACCTTTTGCGGGTACCGCTCACTGATGCTCTGCTTCCATCGGTTTTTAGCAAGGCGGATGGGCAATATGCTCTGCCCAGTAGATTTTATTTTTTATGTGGTCGTAGTGATATTTTTGAGCTCTCACAATACTTCTTCAACTAACATCTTATGTGTTTGCGAATAGGAGGGCATCGTTTTTTATTCTTTTTCGCGTTTCTTTCTATCATTATTTTTTGTATATGTAGAGAATAATGAGTAAAAATGAAATGTATTTAAGAAAATTCAATTTGAAGACAAAAAAGAGAGTGAGAAGAGAAATAAAACTAAATTTCAGTTTCGGCAGGAAGCGAACTTGCTTTCCTTAATAGTGCATAGATAAATCTAGATGTACAAGAATTTTGTTAATTTTTAGGTCGCTCGATGGCTGAAAAAACGATGGAAAGTGGCCCAAAACTTGACAGCCTTTTGTTCGGAATTCCAAGGATGCTCTACAGTGCTGGTATGCTCACATAATTCTTTGTTCCATTTCTTGTAGCGTTTGTTTTTTTCTTTGTATCTAGTGACGAAATTTTTGTTTTTTGTGTGTTTTCGAAGTTGGTTGGATTTCAGAACTCTTGGCCCTAATCACTTTTGTAGAGACTTTTTAAAGCTCAGAAGTTGTCAAAAGCCAAGGCCTCCCTGGAATGTAGTTGAATTGGTTGGTGCTAACGGGTAGCCGCCATCCGCTGGCAGCGTGCCAATGGTTCATGTTTTCGATAGTTTCTTGAAAGCAGGCTTGCCGGAATACTTCTTTGCATAATTCATACGAATTTACTGTTGAAACGAGTTAGGGAATCGTAATAAGTCAGGTTACTGGTTTTTCCAAACTGGCTGAGTCGAAACGCGGACTCTTTTTTTTTTTATCAGGAGCAGTGATTTTTTTTCTTTCAGAAAAAAGTCCTGTTGAAAGTTATCGAAACTTGTTTATGTTATGAATTCGATTATGAAAATCATTATCTGTTGTGAAAATTATGAAAATCATAGTCCGATCTTTTGTTATGAAAACTGACTGTCAATTTCAGGGGAAAGCGTAATCGTAAATTTTCTGGAAATCTTCAGTATTTTGGGTCACAGCATCTACGGCATACTCCGACAATTTGCTACCATTCCTGAATGGCTTCTCAGTGAGTTGTCTTCAAATTCCGTCCACGATTGAGTAACAGAAATTGGAAATTTTTGAGTGATTTTTTTTTCTTCACATTGTCTTCCAACTTTGTAGGTTCATAGTTCGGAAGGAAATGGACATAATGGATTTTTAGAAAAGTAATTAATTTTGTATTATTATTATTTTCTGTAATTCCGCTTTCATGTTTTTAGGTAGCTCTATGTACAGACAATTGTATGAG